TAATGGCGATGTGTGACAGATGTGAGCAATGGTGGTAAGGGACTTCGGTGAGCTAGAGAGAGTGGGCACCGATTGAGAGAGAGAACACAGAAAGAGAGAAAGGGCGGATCAACATACTACACAGAGAGCGAGTTGGAGACAGAGGAGATCAGGGCCTTTTTTTAATTTTTTTTTTCTGTTTTCCTGGTACAAAATGACGTCGTTTTATAATTGGTGACCAAATTTTTTTTGTCGCCAAAAAATTTCATTTCCCCCTTCCATGTTTCAAATTTCCCTACCAAACTTTTGGCGACCAAAACACCATATTAGTTACAGAAAAGGTACCTTCGCCAACAAATTTTTTTAGTCGCCAAATCTCAATCAACGGCGACTAAAATATTAGTCGCTAAAAGTACTAATTTGGCGACTAATTTTTTTTGGTCACCAAAATGTAACCTTCTGCGACCAAATTTGTAGTTGGTCGCCAAAAGCATATCAATTTCTGCGACGAACTCATTTTTGGTCGCCAAAATGTGACCTTCTGCGACCAACTCATATTTGGTTGCCAAAAATATTGATCATTCGCGACTAATTAATATTTGGTTGCCAAAAGGTAACTTTTAGCTATTAACTTTTATATTGATCGCAGAAAGTGGTCGCTAAAAGTGCAGATTCTTGTAGTGATTGTTAGTGAGAGGATTGTTAATGAGAAAATTGTTAATGTGGAAATTGTTAGCGAGGGAATTAAGTAAAATGTATTTGTTTTGATAATAGTAGTAGTAAAGTACTAGTATTTCACCCTCTAGGCACTGTTATCTATTCTATGCTAAAACCTCTTCGATCCAATTCTGTTCATGCAAAGTAATGATCCTAAACAAGACAACCCGAAGTCAGAACCAAAAGCGATCAATTCCATGACCAGTGTTATCACTTGTCAGAATGCAAATTCAGCATACTGCAGTCATCATCAATTCCACAAGAGCTCAGTATCGAATAAAAGATCCAATTCCCAATCCACCAATCAAAGATTCCCATGTGGGTTTTGGATTTCAATTTGAAGATACCACCTTAACTCATAAGCTTAAGAAAAAACCCAAAAAAACTCCACACAAGTTAGTGATATAAGTGAAGAAATTGAAGCAAAAAAACTACCTCATCGGCCAGAATTTTGGAGCAGTTGAAGCAAACGCATCGCATAATACTGAGTACAGTTTTCAAAAACCCAATATGGAACATGGGTTTGGCAAGCTCGAGGTGCTCAAAATGGCCAGGACACTCAGCCATGTTGGCTATACAGGTCTCACACTTCATCTTTCGATCAATAGTACCCAACCGAGGGTCGCTGAGGCCACCGAGCTTCGGCTTCCCTCGCTCCATCGTCTCACTGTGCTCGATCTACACCACTGACATTTGTCTCTGCCAGAAATAAACACAACATCAAGAAATTAAAACCCCTTTGAAACCCTAACAACCAAAGAGATGAAGATGAATGGGTCTTTCTTTCGTTTTTTGGCAAATTCTCAATAAAAATACATGGAAAGCATAAATTGATTGAAGATTGAAGAAAAAGATTACGATCTCATCAGGGTTAAGGATGCCAAACTGGACTATCTGGACCTTGGCGACCTCCGCTGGAGAGTATGGAAATCGGATATCCATGGCTACAACAACTACTACTACTACAACAGATCATTGAGGATTTCAATCAAAATCAAAATCAAAACATGATGAAAGTTTGACCAGTGGATGGAACCGACTCTCATAGCCGAAAACATGTCTTCTCAAAAGCTATTCAAGTCATATTCATATCTTCTAGAGAGGGAGATAGCGAGAAACAGAGAGAGAAAGACAGAGACAGACAGACAGACCGAGAGTGAGAGAGAACCTGTGAGGATATGGCGGCGGCGGTGGCGGTGGCGCCAGTAGTGGCGTGCAACCCTGGTCAGCGATAAGGTGAGATTGGGTGAGAATCCCCCAGAAATGAAGAGTCCATTAGACAGAGGGTGATGGCGATGTGTGACAGACGTGAGCAATGGTGGTAAGGGACTTCGGTGAGCTAGAGAGAGTGGGCACCGATTGAGAGAGAGAACACAGAAAGAGGGAAAGGGCGGATCAACATACTACACAGAGAGCGAGTTGGAGACAGAGGAGATCAGGGCCTTTTTTTAATTTTTTTTTTCTGTTTTCCTAGTACAAAATGACGTCGTTTTATAATTGGTGACCAAATTTTTTTTGTCGCCAAAAAATTTCATTTCCCCCTTCCATGTTTCAAATTTCCCTCCCAAACTTTTGGCGACCAAAACACCATATTAGTTTGATCATTCGCGACTAATTAATATTTGGTCGTCAAAAGGTAACTTTTAGCTATTAACTTTTATATTGATCGCAGAAAGTGGTCGCTAAAAGTGCAGATTCTTGTAGTGATTGTTAGTGAGAGGATGGTTAATGAAGAAATTGTTAATGTGGAAATTGTTAGCGAGGGAATTAAGTAAAATGTATTTGTTTTGATAATAGTGTGAGAGATGATTAGTGATGAGATTGTTAAATTATTTTTATATAAAATAAATAAAAAATTATTTCTATATTAAAAAACTAAAACAAATATTAAAACAAACCGGTGCACTTGGTAAAATTTTTTTTTTTATATAAAATAGACTCAATCTCCTCACTATTTTCTTAATTCCACCAAAACCTAACCAAGTTAATCTCCCTACTAAGGGGGATTACGAAGCCCGTTGGACTATTAATTTGCCAACTCATTTTACTACCAATCATGCTATGGATAGGACCCACAACCATGGTAGTCTAATCTGGCCACTCAAATCACGAAACAAACATGACCCAAGTGAACTAACTTGACCGTTGGAGGGTTTTCAGACAAACCACCAGCCGGATAACTCACCATTGTTCTGTTTGCCATAGGCGAGACGTCATTAGGAGAGAAGTAAGCTTGGCAGTAAGGTATACGGGTGAGGACGAATATTTCTCCCGCGCACAATATCCCTTTCATCAGTCACAACACTTTTAGAACATCACATGATCATGGGTGTTTGGTGGGAATTATACGAGCAGATTATAGTTTATTTTAATTTAAAAATTTATATCAGATTATTTAGTATAATTTCTACTTATAATTTATTAAACAAAAATAACTTAAATAAGTTAAAAATATATAATTTTCTAAAACTTAGAGGAGAGACAATTTTAATTTTTAATTTCTAATTATTAACTTTTAATTTAAAATAATTTTTACCAAACGCCCACTCCATATCCTATAACTACTGAAGAACTTCTGCAGTGGGGTGATGGTGGTGGGACCTAGCTGTGGAAGATGCTATCAAGGGTGGCTCATGTGGTTTCACAAAGTGGTGGACAAGTGGGGACCCATTACCCATCTAACGTGGTGGCCCCAAATTAGCAAAGTTGTGTCTTCAATAGGATATACCCCCCAATTGCCACAGTCCAGTGTAAGTAGGCTAGACACACTTTAATCAAAACCCCATTCCTTTTTGAAAAAGCACCGTTTTGCTTTTTAATAAAGTGCTTTTCATTGCATTGGCACGGGGTGGGAGATTCTATTTACACCAAAAAAAAAAATAAATAAATAAATATTTTTAATTTTAAATATATTTTATTTAATTATTTAAAATTTTATTTTACTCTCCTTAGACACTATTATTTTTTGCAAATTAAAAACTAAATTATTTTAAAACTTTTTAATACAAAAAATAATTCTCAAATACAGAAAAAAAACTAAACTTATAAGTACATACGCATAATAAAATGACGAAATAAAAATAACTCTAATATATGATATTGTTAATCTAATTACTGGCTTTTTAATTTTTGTCAAAAAAATGATATAAAAAATAATTGATGGTGCTCTACAAAAATTGTAAAACCCCTTTATATGAGTACTTGTCTCATTTTTGATGAGTTACTTTAAAAAATTATTTTGATTATTATTCTCATCCATTATTTGATTTTATTTAAACTTTCTTCTAGGGTTTAGAGTTCTAAAATAATAAAAAAAACAATGATATTGATGATGATGGTGAGTTTTGGTAGGGTGTATTAAAGTTTTGGAGGGAAAATGAAGAAGAAGAAGAAGAAGAAATAACTTTGATCTCTTGAGAAAGAATATACAAATATTTGAATTGAAATAACTAATCAAGGTATACCATGAAAAAAAAAAATATTTTAAAATTTAATATATGTTGCCCTTATTAACATATTAAGATTTAATTAAAATTAAAATTTATAAATTAAAATTGAACGTATTAAAATATATTTTGCGTTCAAATAGAATCCCCTAAGGTGGCGGCTTTTTGGAGTGCTTTGCATTGTATTGGGTCTTATCATCATTCTTCTCTCTAGAATTGATGGAAAATAATTAAATATTATGTGATATTATTCATTAATAAAAAAAATTGTAATATATACTAAGCGGATTATATAATTTTTTTAATTGCTTAGCAAAGGTAAATCAATATTTTTTACTCAAATTTTTTTTTTGTTACGCTATTACTTTAGAGCATTACGTTGATAATGTCACAATATTTTAAAATTATTAAATAATTATTTTGAATAAAATACAATAAGATGTAACATGATATGTGTGAGCTACCTCATTCTCACAGATCTTGGGCCCAATTCAATCCAAAAAAAAGAAAAGAAAAAGACCTTAATTAGGTGGAGGCATGCAAGTGTCATGATAAGTTGAAAACAATAGGAAGTAGAATCATTGTTTTGTTTTGGAGCAATGCTTCACACCATCATCATCAACAATCAATCTCAAAACATTAAAAGTGACACATTCAGCTATATAAGTCAACCACTATTAAGTTAGGCACATCTATTACCAAAAAAACAAAAAAGTTAGGCACATCAAGAGTAAGGAATAGTTTTTTTAGATAAACACTGAATAACTTTTTATAAAGATCTCTCCATTAAAAAAAAAAAAAACTGTTTCACACTCAAATCATTTCATCTATATTTTCAATAATTGGGCGTGTTGGGCTACCATTGCGAACTTGGGCTTGTTGAGGTGGCAATCGCAGGCCCAAATCCACTTCAGCACTGGTTTACGGTTTATCGGAATACCCACCCACTCGGCGATTCGATTTTGCAAATCGGACCTCTCTCTCTCTCTCTGTGTGAAAACCTAATTCTAGCCCTAGTTTGAATGATCGTTATTTGCAGAATTGTGATAAATAAAGGGGACTAGTTGATTGGTTGTGATTTCAATGATAAACAGTGTGTGTCTATTATGTTCACCAATAGTCAGAGGCAAGAAGAGCGTAGTGGCAAATATGGAACTCCAAGGCTTCAATACCTTCAGGTCCATTACTTCACCACCCACACGGAATTGGGGTGGCTGCTGTGCGGGGGTGCACAGCAGCCACTGCTGTGCAGCCATTTGGGCCCTATTTTGATAATCCGAACCGTTCACATTTTAAAATACATTAAGTAGAACGAACCTATAAAAAATCAAGTTAATCGGATATCGTTTACCTATTCATCCACTCACATTTGTATCTACAAAAATAAATAACAATTGTAATTTAAAGTATTAAAATGAATACAAATGTGAGTGGATGAATGGGTAAACGATATCCGATTAACTTGATTTTTTACATTATCAAAATGGACCCTGAAAAGGGCCCAAATGGCAGCACAGCAGCCACACCAATTCCACTTAGATCCAGATTGTTATCACATTAATTCTCTCCTTTTATTGTTTATATTAGTGCCCTTATCAATTTTCAGTGTTTTCCCAAAAACCCAATTATTTCAAGTAAATAGTTTTGAATGTTGCTTCTTCAAATCAATTAAAAAAAGAAAAAGAAAAAATTGAATTAAAACTCAGATTTTGTTGCAGAAATAAGCAATTTAGAAATTGGTCAAGTGTTTTGTAAGGATGGAATAGTTAAATGCATAACTAGTGAAGTAGTTTTATGTACGTGGGTGTTGATTAAATTTCACCTTTTGGTTACAGGAGTTAGTGTCTCAGTTTCAGAATGCAACTAGTGAAGGTATATGCTCTGTGTCAACATTGTTGTATTTCTGTGATTTTTCCATTTGTATTCTCTTTTGAAATCTTGAAATTAGCTTTGCCTTTTTTTAACACAAACAAGAGTTGATAAGATTGCAATTTCGTGGATGTGAATTTAGTGGCAAGTCTTGAGTCCACCTCCCCTTTTTCCAATCACTAGAAAGGCTCTGAGTAATAACTCAGCATTGCGGATTGTTCACATAAGGGGTCCATTTTAAAACAAAATGGACCATATTTTAATTTTAGTAATTAGTAGTATAGAGGGTAGTTTGGGTTTTGATTACCTAGTGTGGTAGTTTATTGAGGTGGATGTTTGACAATATTAGGAGAAAGAGTTCGGAACGAATGAATTCGTGAGATGGTAGAGGTAGCACCTTAAATTAGGATAAATTGAGTAAAATGGTTTGGTCATGTGTTATGAAGACCAATAAGTGCCCCAGTTAGCAAGGGTGACACCATCCATGTTGAGGGTAATGTTAGGAAACAAGGGGAGACCAAAATTAATTTGGGTTGACAGAAAGACATGTTAGCTTGTAGTTTAACTGAAATTCTGACCCTTAATTGAGCGGAATGAAAAAATACAAGTCCTGGGGACATGCGTGCTTTTGAACACATTACCTAAGGTGAAAAGAATTTCCAGATTTTCTCATCCTTCTTGATACTTGTTTTTAGAGTGATATATGAGAGTATTACATACCTCATTTGAAATAATATGATGATAACTGGTTCAGGATCGGTTCTGGTGGAAAAGTTCCATGAATTAGTAATTCAAGCCACTCAGTTCATGTAGTTGTAGAAATTCTTGGTTGAACATTTAAGTGAATGAAGTCAATTGCAGTGTTCCAGTTTCTTTTACTTAATCGTGCTTTCCAAAAACCTAAACCATTACCATTAACATGACTGATTGATGCTTATGTATGCAGAATCAAAAGAGAGGATCGTTGCTAATTTGGCAAACTTTGCATATGATCCTTACAATTATACCTTCTTGCGTCAGGTTCAGAGTCCTTAAATGAATGGTGAACAGCTTGTAATTTATTTCTTTATCTTGTTTTATTGCATAATAACTTCTATTTGTGATTTTGAACAGCTCAACATTTTGGAACTTTTTCTAGACTGCCTAACAGAACCAAATGAGAAGCTTGTAGAGTTTGGTGTTGCAGGGATCTGCAATTCTTGCGTTGGTAGCCAAAAGATCTAAAACTTTTGCTAGATACTTTTATATTAACTCAAAACATTCCAATTTTCTTGCTCATGTTTTTCGACTTGTTTCAAAGTAATAAGTGCTATTAGTGGGGGGTGTGTGTGCGCGCGCACATAATGGTGTCTAACTTATTTAATTCTCTCTGCAGATCCAGTAAATACTGCCATTGTCAGTCAGTGTGGTGGGATTCCTCTTATCATTCAATGTTTATCAAGTCCTGTTAGAAACACTGTAAGGCGTAAAACTTTTTCCTGGGTTTTTTTAAACTGAATGAATACATCATTTCAATTGTCGTTGTTTCTTCACTTCTTGAAGTTGGGGTCCATCATAGATTGGAAGGAACTCTGAATTAGATATTAAACCACCATGATTTCATAATTTGAAGGAAAACAAATTAATTTACATTTTGTTTGTAGAGAACAACATATTTGAGATAGTTTTTTTTTTTTTTCTTTGTAGATACTAATCAAATTATGCTTTTAATTTTTTTTTTTAATTTATACATACGGTGTAGAAATCATATTCATCTATGTTTCTAATTCAAGTAAATTACAATTTGTAGGTAAATTATGCTCTTGGGGCTCTGTATTATCTGTGTAATGCTTCTAACAAGGAAGAGATATTGAAGCCAGAGGTGGTGGATGTCATCAGAAGGTATGCAGCAGCTGGTGCAGTTAGTGTAAGCTTCAGTAATCTAGCTCAGGCATTTCTAGATAAGCACGTTGATGAACACGAGTGACAGATAAATTCTACTTTTTGGTACTATTTCATTCAATGATGTCATTCATATTTGGTATAATTTGTGTCACATTAATATCGTAACTTGACTTCATTGTTGTTTTAAACACCTTGTAAATATGTACTTGCCTTTGTTAATAGTTATTACCTCTGTTTTCATTGAGAATTACTAGTATTGTACTTCTGTAGTGGTTACTAGTTAGGTTATCGTGCACTGAGCCGCCCTTTACAGTTCTTTTCTGTTAAATATTTCAACTTGGGTTTTAAAAAATTCCCATCAGTGCACGCCCTTTACAGTTCTTTTCTGTTAAATATTTCAACTTGGGTTTTAAAAAATTCCCATGACTGAATTTAGATAAGAATTTTAAAAGAGAAAGAAAAAAACGTATGTAAAATGTAATTTATATTTTATTCACATTTCACCTATTTTTTCTCTTTCGCTGTCCAAATCCCTCTCTATGTCCAACTTTAAAATTCTAGTTAAATTTTTTTGTTTATCTGGGTAACTAGGCTTACTGTATTTTGGTTGCATAGCAAGAATTGCACCATCATGTTGTTTTGCTAAATCAAACAGGTGAAGAGCACTTCATTAGAGAACACAAACTCATTCACAACAAAACCTGCTATTTTATTTCAAAAGTGATCTTACACTAAACACAGGAACAGAACACACTAACAAGCACAAACACAAGTCACTAGTCACAAGCCACTCTCAAAATCCAGACAAGGTCACCACTTCTTGTTCCCGTCCCACCACAGATGCCAGGTATGAATTATCTGAATTCCTCACAGAACAATTCGCCCGAATCTCCCCTTCCGTCCCCGTCAACACTGTCAACTGGCCCATCTTTGTCATCGACAACACAAACTTCTCAAAAAACAGAGTCTCATTCACAGCAAAGCTCTTCACAATGTCCCGAGTCCTTTTATCTGTGTACAAATCTTGGTCCGAGGTAAACAGCCCCTGCCGATTCATGAGATCAACATAGTACTTGTTATCAAATTTGTTGGGACTCCGAATATCCAAAACTGTAGTGTTGTCAGTATCTAGTGCTGGACATGTGACTTTGAGGTTGTTGGCAAATGTTTTGTCCATGTTTGTGTCTTGAGGGTAGAGGCGGTCGGTGAAGGAGGAGCAGTGGCTGATACCGATGGTGTGACCACCCGAGAGTGCCACGACGTCGGTGGCATCGAATTTTTTTGTCGCAAGAGAGGAGAGGAGGGTGGTGGTGTTTGATGATGGTGCGGGGAGGTTGGCCAGTGTTACGTTTGTTGTTGCGAAGGTGAGTCCGTCTCGCCTTCCCAATGGGACATCATAGTCAGGGCCACCTGACTGCAATTGCAAAGAAGTCAAACATTTGTTAGTGTTTTTTTAAAACCACCTATCTGATTAAAAATTCGAGAGGACTCATCAGAGAGCATAAAAAGTTTACCAGAAAAACAGCATCGCGAGCGGCAAGTGCAGTGATGTCGGCACAGGAGACAATCCTCCCGCACTTCTTGTGAACGCGTCGACGCAGGTCATTGATGATCTCGAATGCCTCCGCTCTCAGACTCAGGTTTGGAGGTGCCTCTTGCTCGCTTGGCCCACTAGCTGATCCATCGAGCAGTACTGAACCATCACATCCCTACCACCACCATCACATAAATATGCTAAAATGAAATAATTATATATATTAAAGATCACTCAAGATCCATCTCTTGCTCTCTGTGATAAATGAAAAGCCTCGATATGTTTATTTTTAATTTTATTTTAAAATTTTGAAATTTTTTCCCTCTTATTTCTTAATTGTTTACAAATAATTTCTTCTGGATTTTTTTTTTAAAAAAAATCTTAAAACAGATCCTTCATAGGGTCTGATCTCAAATGACAAGGTCTTTCATCTATAGTGTGCTATCAATCTCTTCAGCCAGTGAGTAGTTTTATCAAAACATTTCTCAAAGGGTCCTGTATCTCTCTAATTATTAACCAACCATCTCCTTTAACATTAGTAAGTTTAGAAAGTGAATTTTTACATCATTTTTTCTTTTCTTTTTCTGCTATGTTTAGATCCTAGATTTGCCCTCACATTTTCTTTTTTTGTTTTTTTGGGTTCTTCTTTCAAATTCTTATACAACTTCATTATCTAAACACAATCTCATTAAAACTTGCCTGTACGGAAAGTCTAGAAAAGATGAATAACTGAAAAGCTAAAAAGCTTTTAAAGAATGAGAATGCTATATATGAAACGTGAAATTGTATGAACCTGAACAAAGCAGTCATGGAAGTGAAGGCGAAGCAAGCCAGCAGCTTGGCCAATATCATCTTTGAAGACCTTCTTGAGCTGTTTTCTGATAACGGATTCCAATTTAGGACAGCTTGATTCATAGAATGTCCATGATAGTCCCTTCACTATAGGTGGCTCATCACCAGCCTCTGAAATATCAAAGTAACAAGAACTCAGCAAGACTGAAGAGAAGATCACTACTAGCATAGAGCTGGTTAAAGAAACTGCATTATTGAAGGCCATGCTTGGCTTGGTTTGGTTTGATGGTTTGCTTGATTTTGTGATTGGCCAAAGGCAACATGCGACAAGATATTTATAGGCAGATATAAACTATAAAGTCATGTAGGTTGGAAAAAATCCTATCCTCTCGAAAAAAGCGTAATGTTGTCACAATGGTATTAAATTCGATAATGATTGGTGGTCATAAATTTTGTAATTTAAATAGTTTGAATATGTCAAAATAACGTCGTTTTGGGTACAAAGCAATTCTAAAAATGTCAAAACGACGTCGTTTTGACATTTTCGAACCATTTGAACCACAGAATTTGTAGCCACCAAACATTTTCTTACTAAATTGGTATAAACTTTTTGTTCAAGAAAAGGGTCACAAATTTTTACATTAATTTGTGACGAGATTACTTATTTTATTAATCACAAAATTTTAAATATTTTATTATATTAATTTATAATAAAATTACGTATTTTATAATTAAGATACATATTGGTATGTGCAGTGTGGTTCGGACGGTTTGCAGATTAGTGGATTGACAAATTGTAATTTAAACATTTTTGGTCGGATTAGCGGATTGAATAATATTCTAATCAATGTATTTGGATAATATATGATACTAATTTACATAATATTTTTTATATATATAACACAAGCAATTTTACATAATATTTTTTAAATATATAACTATTAATTTTTAATAAATTTCACATATTAAGTCTTTTTAATACTCATTTTTATTTTGATATTTCATTATAGATTAAAAAGTATATATGTATTAACTATAGCGGAGCGGAATGAAGTGGTTTCGAAGATGAATTATAAATTTCAAAGTTCAATCCATGATTAGTGGATATGATGGTAATTTGCACAACTCTAAACATAACAATGGGGTAGACAAGATGGGATGTCTGGATCAGTTTATGTGCACCTTAATAAATTTTGAGATTCTAAAATTAATGATAAGTGAACCTCCAATGATCCTGTAAGAGGAGCTAATTTCAGTCCGCTAAATTAATTAGGCCCAATAGTCCAAGGTTGGTAGGCCCGAATTTATCGCAAGTCCAAGATTGGTGGGCCCGGATTTATCGCCATCAAATGGGCTGAATCACTCTAAGCCTAGAAAGGGTTCGGATTCACGAACTTAAAGACTTACTCAAGTTCGGACTCGAAAGGGTTCAGATCCACGAACCTAGAGATCCGAAGCACCTGGCTTCGAACGGATTCAAACGCAATCTAGAAGTCGCTCTGTTAATGAGTCCCAGAACACTTGCGGGCTCGGAGCTTTCCGGGATCTACGCACCAGAACCATGGGCGTAATGGAGTTCTTTTTCTATTTTTTTTTTTTTAAAAAATTTAAGAGTATAATTGTAAATTAACATGTTCACAGCAGAAGTTGATAATCAGAAATAAGGGATGAGCAGTTTCTTAAAATCAATTTTTTTAGGTTAAAATAAGTTGTTAGAGCATCTCCAATGGTTGTCGCTATAATACCATTGCTATTGCTATAATTTAACAATGAATAGTATTATTTTGTCAAATTATAGCAATGGTGCTCCAATAGTCATTTGCTATTTTGACAATTCTCAACCAACTTTCCCTTCTAGTTTGTAAGTGTTGTTTGAATATAGTTTTTTTGTAATTTTATTTTTATTTATTTTTTGTCTTTTATGACCTTTTTTTAACAAACTATTTGTAAAAAAAAATTATATATTTATATTATTTCCGACTAGACAAATATAAAAAATGAATTTTTTTTTTGAAAAATTAGAAATTTTTTTAAATATAATTCAATTTAAAAAATTAAATTTGAAAAATTATTTGGTTTTCTACTATTTCAATTTTGTTTTTTCAATTGAATTTAGAGCCACAAATATGTTCATATTTGATAATGTGACATGTTTGGCGGTTGCTATTTTACTTGCCAAATTTGAGAATAGAGATGGCATATGTCATATTTGGCAAGTAAAATAGCAAGCCATTGGATACCCACTTTTTTATGAGCAGGGATCCTCTAGAGTGATTTTTTCCTAAAGTTTCCTAGAGTGCTACATTGTGTGGTTGAGATTTACTGGCAAGTCACATCAATTTTTCTGATGTGACTTGCCTGTAAATCTCAACCACACAATGTAGCACTCTAGGAAACTTTAGGGAAATTTCACTCTAGAGGATCCTTGGTGCTTTTTTTATCACTATTGCTAAATTATAACTTTGACAAGTGTTTTGAGAGCTCCATTGGAGATACTCTTAGAATCAGAAACTGTTTGAAATAAGTTTAACCAAACAGTTCAAAATAACTTTTCGAAAGTTATAAGTTATAAGTTGGTTCAAAAAAATCCAAACAAACACCCCCAATATATGGTTGGTTAAATTAAAATATTGATAAAAAATTATATAATACCAACTATTTTTGTGATTTTTTATTATAATTTTTTAGGTTAATTATAAATTAATTATAACTCACTATAATACTAATTATATGATTTATAGTTATGATTTATTGTGCTTATTGTTTTCATTATAACAAAAGAAAAATTCTTGTAGTTCAAATTTGTATAGTCCGAATGACTCAGAAATCTCAAATCGAACAACGTCGTTTTGAGACATTCCAGCCATTTGAGTCACGAAAGTTCGGACCATCAAGTATTGTTGATAACAAAAATAATTAGTTATACTTAAAAAAATGTTTGGTTATGATTGATTGTTATTTTAATTATAAAAGAGCATGCTTTTAATTATGGATCAAGTAGATGTATTCTCATCATTTTGATTATCATCGAAAGTAATTTGATTATAATATAAATTGTTATCAAAATTACTCTTTATGTTTCAAAATATTAGTCTCTTATTTCATTTTTTGTTGTCTTAAAATATTAGTTTATTTTCAAAATCAAGAACTAAAATAATATGAATTTTCTATTTTAAATTCATTAATAATACAAAAAGTACAATTATGACAATTAATATTTCCCTAAAAAATGTACTATCAAAGTGTAATTTTGAAAAATCAATATTTTTAAAGTGCAATAATTATACTTCAAAAAAAAGTTAGATTTTTTAAAAGAAACTATTATTTTGGGACAGAAGGAATATAAAATATCATAATTTGTATATAGTACACTCAAAATAAGAATGTGTATTGTAATTGATTATCAAATTAAAAGAAGAGTGATTTTAACCTTTTTTTTTTTTTTTTTTTCAACTTAAAAGTTTGTATCGAAATGGCTCAACAAATAAATATATAACAGTGAAAATAGACCAACAAGTATTTCTCACCAGGGTCACAAGAATACCTTTCTTCCTCATCCCAGATTAGCTCCCAAGTTTTGCATTGCTTGCCAAAGTGATTTAACAACCATCAAAAAAGAATTTATATCTTATTTTCTTCTTGCATTAAAAATGAAAAAAAATATCACTTATGTGGTTGACATGTATATTGAGGTCCAGCACTTCATGTTGATGTTCAGTTTAGAAGTTAAATATTTTTTGAAATTCTTTACTTTTTGTTAATCATAATTCAAGCACAATTTAAGAATTAAAAGTAAATGGCATCAATAGAGATGAGGGCTAGTTTTGGCTCAAAGTTGGCAAAGCTACCGCTTTAAACCCTGAAAAATGTTTTAAAAAAAGAGAGGCTTCTCTTTAGTTGGGTACTGAAGGGTGCTGTTGGGTCTCCGTAGATCCACGATGGAATCTGTTTTGATGATCCAAAGCGTTCAATATATAAGGTTCGTTGAGTACTCCATCTTTATAAAAAATCATATTGATCTGATATCGATAGTTACTTGATCAGATCACATTTCAATAAACAAATTAGGATAAATTACAAAAAAAAAAAAGAATTTCGCGTGTTTTTCAATTTAAACCACAAAGTTTTAATTTTGACAAATTAACTCTGAAATTTTATTCGTGTTTCAATATAAACCCTTCGTCCATATTGTTTGATTGAATTAACGGAATCTAGGCAACATTTTCAGATTCAAACACATATGTTTAAGTATTTGTATTTCTCTCGTCATAACTCCGTTTCGCCTCTTTTTTGAGTCATTAGATTTACCTCATGGCCTAGTTTTTATTTTAACCCTCATACGCCCTGTTCCACCTTTTTTTTGCATGCCATCGGAGCTGTGAAAGATAGCCAAAATAAAAAATTTCTCTCTTTGGACAAAATTTTCATATTCAAACCCACATATTGAAGCCCTTGTGTCTCCCTTATCGTAACTTCGTTTCGCTTCATTTTTGCATCATTGGATTCATCTCATGACCTAATTTTCACTCCACCCCTTATATGCCTTGTTCCACCTCTTTTTGTATGCTATTAGAGATTCGAAAGTTTGCCAAAAATAATTTTTTTCTCTTTTTGGACAAAATTTTATATTTAAACCTACATGTTCAAACCTTTGTATCTTCCTCATCGTAATTCCGTTTGGCCTCATTTTTGCGTTGTTGGATTTGCTTCATGGCCTAATTTTCATTTCATCCCTCATGTGTCTTGTTCCACCTCTTTTTGCATGTCGTCAAAGCTCCAAAAGTTGGCCAAAAATAAAAATTTCTCCTTTTTTTTTTCCCTATCTCCATACTTCTTCCTTCCTTATTCCTTTTCAAAATTATTCTCTTTCTCTCTCTCTCTCTCTCTCTCTCTCTCTTTTTCCCTTTTTCTTTTCCTTTTCCTTCATGGCCCTTCCATCGAGCTCGTGGTGGCCACCAAACCTTCGATGGTGGTGGTGCCATCGAGAGGAAAAGAGAGAATAATTGTAGAAAGGAATGAGGAAGGAAGAAGCATGGAGATAGAAGATAGACGCAAGAAAGAAAAGAGAGAGAGAGAGAGAGAGAGAGAGAGAGAGAGAGAGAGAGAGAGAGATCTTATTTTTAGCCAAATTTTGGAGCCCCAGCGGCACCCAAAACGAAGTGGAACAAAGCATATGAGGGATGAAATAAAAACTAGGCCATAAAGAGAATTCAACGACGTGAAAATGAATCTAAATGGAATTACGATGAGGGAGATACAGGTTTGAACATATGGGTTTGAATCTAAAAATTTTACCCAAAGAGAAAAATTCTTATTTTTTACC